AGTTGCCGGCTCTGCCCTCCAACTCTGGCCTCGCCGGCACGTTCTGATCCGGGTCCTTCACATCCCGTTAGCGTTATTTTGGACGTGGATTTGCTCTTTCCATTCGATTCAAGAGGAAATGGAGTTCCTGTTCCAGAGTCTCCATTTGTTATTCTTTGTTTGTTTTCATAAAAATTTAAAAGATGGTGTCGTTTGGATTCAAGCAGAGGCCAATCACGTCTCCAAAATTTGTAATTCCGCCCCTTCCTTCTTGGCAGCTGGAGGAGCCTCCGCGGGTGCCAAGCTGCCCTGGCACTGCTTGGGCTGGCTCAGCCTGCCCCCTGCTCTCCACCCCTACCCTCCACACCCACCTCCCGCCCCACTCTCTGGCCACACTGCCCTCTGCCCCCTCCCGCACCCTGCCAGGCTGGGATACCGGCTCCGAGAGAGCCCGGTGTGAGTGCCCCGGGCATACCCATTGGGAGTGGCCCCTGGGAGCCTCCCGCCGCCCTGGACTGAGCAGGAACCTGAGGCAGAGCCTCTGAATCAGGGGCATCAACCCTTCAGCACCCACCTCCCTTGAAAATTTGGTGGTTGGAGGATGAGGAGGGTTGAACCTGGGAGTCTGGACTTGGCAGAGAATCTACTCTGAGCACGGGAGTGAGGCGTGTGTGGGGTGCGGTTGGGGTTTGGGGGTCCCTGGGGAGGGGGACACCCGCCCCTGGAGGCAGAGCCCAGTCTGGCCTGGCCTGGAGCGCCCTCTAGAGCCCCAGAGCGGGACCTGCAGCCTGTCCACGCGGCCAGGACCGACCGCGGGGAACCAGTGCTCCGCCGACCCTCTGGGCGTTCCCACCCCTCATCGAAGGTCTTCACCTAGTGCCGGGAGGCTGGCAGGCACTCTCGCCCACCCCCCCCGCCCCCCAGACCCAGCAGACAGCCCCATCCCCGCTCCGGTCCTGCTGCAGACCTCGTGACCGCGCTTGCAGGCTCGCAGAGCCGCGCGCTCGGCCGCCCTCCACGGACCCCTCCAGGCCCCCAGCGCCCCCGGGACGAGGTCTGTAGGAGGACAGTCACAGCTGCTCCTGTCCCGCAGTGGACAGTCACCAGCGCGCAGGCCCAGGGCCACGCTGCCCTCTGCCCCACCTGGCTATGCCCTTTTGTGCTCAGGGGTCACTCCCAGAGGTGCATTGGAGGCTGAACCCAGGTTTCCCCGCCCCCAAGCCCCCTCCCCAAACCCCACCCAGCCGCAGCAAAGATGGTTCTGTCTGAGCTCTGAGCCTCAGGGTCTCTATCACCATCTTCTCCTCCTCCCCTCCTCCTCCTCTCCCTGTCCTCCCTCTCCCTCTCCCTCTCCCTCTCCCTCTCCCTCTTCATCCTTCTCTTCCTTCTCCTTCTCCTTCTCCTCCTTCTCCTTCTCCTTCTCCTTCTCCTCCTCCTCCTCCTCCTCCTCCTCCTCCTCCTCCTCCTCCTCCTCCTTCTTCTTCTTCTTCCTTTCTTCTTCCTTTTTCTTCTCTCCTCCTCCTCCTCCTCTTCCTCCTCCTCCTCCTCCTTTCTTCTCTTTTCTTTCTTCTCCTTTTGGCCCACATCCAGCTGTGCTCAGGGATCGTGTGCAAGGTAAACGCCCTGACCACTGTATGATCGCTCCAGCACCTCTGACCTCTTCTCTTTGGAAAGCTCCCCCGCCTCTTCTTAGGGAACACTGCTCTCAGGCAGCTGGGCCTCCCTGTCCTTGGGGCAGCCCTCAGGAGGCCACGTGTCAACCCTACATCAGTTAGATAGGCGGTCCCTCAAGGGCAAAGGCTGCGGTGCTCGGTGCTTGGTGCTCATGTGTTCCCCGTGTCACCTCCTGTGTGCCCTGCCTGCCTTGGAGAGCAGCGGGTGGGAGTGGAGACACTGGCCTGGCCACTAGAACAGTCTTGGCCAGTGCGGGGGGTCCTCAAGGGCAGCCCAAAAGTTCACGGGGTGCATAGGAGGCTTTAACCAATCCTGGAGGGGGCCAAGGCTTCCCAGGGATGATCCGGAATTTTTCAAGTTCTTATCTTTAAAATTCTGGTCTTAAAGGGCCAGCCAAGGGGGCTGTAGCCCAATGGGTAGGACATTTGTCTTGCACGCGGCTAACCCAGGTTCGATCCCCAGCATCCCATATGGTCCCCTGCGCACCGCCAGGAGTAATTCCTGAGTGCAGAGCCAGGAGGAACCCCTGAGCATCACCGGGTGTGACCCAAAAAGCAAAAAAAATAAAAAATAAAAGATGGTGTCATTTGGATTCAAGCAGAGGCCAATCATGTCTCCAAAATTTGTAATTCCGCCCCTTCCTTAACAAATAAATAAATAAATAAATAAATAAAGGGCCAGCCAAGGGTGGTGGGGAAGATGGCTCAGAGGGCTGGGGTGTGAGGGAGAGCCTTGGGTTCAATCCCTGACACCTCCCTCCCCTGCGCACTACTGGGCACCACCTCCAAGCGCCAAGCTCGGGAAGGTTCCTAGGACAGCCTCTCTCGAGCCCACCAGCCTTCTGGACACTGCTGGCAGGGAACCAAGGGGAAAGGACATGGGGGAAGCTCGTGCTTTGAGGACCCCACAAATGCCCTCAAACTCGGAATGAGCTGCCGGGCCCTCACACTCAGGGAAAGCCCCCTTCTGTGGGTGTGCATGCCTCGAACCCAGGACAGCTTTGCTCCCACACACACAGCACTCCTATACGAACATCTTGAATCAGCGAGAAATACAGGCTCCATGCACACTGAAAGACGTTTGCTCTGTCACCGCTTTTGAGAAAATGACATACTTCATGTCACCCCCCCTGTGGTGTTAGAGACACTGCACGGTCTGCAGCAGCAGCTGTGACAGCCGGGGTTCGACTCAACCTTCTCCTTAGTTCACGGCATCTTTCAGGGCACCCCCCACGAGCATATTTCCAGCTTGAAATACACACATTCTCCTCAATTCAACCAACATTCGCTTAGCTCCAAACATGCACCTGGCACTGTTCTAACACTTCATGAATAATTACCCACCAAACCCTCCGCACAGCTCCAGCAGTCAAGTGCTGCATAGAATAAAGGTCCCTGGTTTACCAGAGAGCCGACCGAGGCACAGAGAAGTTAAGTGACTTACCCAGGGCCACACAGCAGGGCTCTCCTCCTCCTCCTTTTCCTCCTCAGTGCCAGGGACCAGACCCAGGTCGTCCACATGCCAGCCAGCTGCGCTATCCCTGAGCAACACCCCTGACCCCAGATAAGGAACCCAGAAGAGCACAATTAGCCAACCCAGAGTCAGAGAGGGGTGCAGGCAGGAGGGCTGGCAGGCCTGCCCCGGCAGAGTCAGAGATGGAGCAGTCATCCCATCTCTTTCAGCATCAGTTTCCCTCCCTGTGAAAGGGCTGGATACTGTCCTTGGCACTGTTATGGGAATCAGATGAGGTTCTGTGCTCCCCAGCCTCCCTTCTTGGTGGTGGGGCAATGGGCTCTCCCAAGAACCTTCTAGAAGGGGCTGCAGCCTGCCTCGCCTCCCATCCCCTGGGATCAGGGGACAGTGAAAAGGAGGAGGCGGTAGACTGAGGGTGAGGATGCGGAGGGGGCTCCCCAACCTCGATGCCGCCTGCCAAGAGATTCCCGGCTTCCCACTTTCTCCGCCCCTGATGTTTCACCCCCAAACACACCTCCTCGCACCCGCTACCCCCCACCCCGCCCCCATGACCTCGCAGGACATTCCCAGGCCTGCCCACCAGGGGGCGCGTGGCGGCCGCAGGACCGGGCGGGGGGCGGGGCTTGCAGGGGCTCCAGGTCAGAACCTGGGGGGTCTGGGTTTGGGAGTTCCGAGACCCGGTGGGGGGGTGCTGAGGAAGCCTGGAGACCTCCTCCCCCGGGCGCCTGGGTCTCTCTGGAGCTCAGAGAGAAGAGAGCCGGCCCTGCTGCTTCTGCTGGCTCAATCTTTCCTCTGCACAACTGTGGAAACTGAGGCCGAGGAAGAAGTCACCGTGCTCAGCTCTTGGGCTTTGCAAGGGCCCAGAGAGGCGGCGTCGCGGAGCCCCGCCCCCCCGCCCCCCACCCCCGGGAACCAGGGCAGCGGGTGGAAAATGGGACCTGGGGTCCAGCCTGGAGCTAGGTCAGTGCCTCCCAGGGCTCCCCAGCCTGACCTGGAGCGAGGGGCACTGCTCAAAGCTGGACACACACACACACACGGCTGCAGTGCTGAGGGGCTGGGGAAGAGCTATACTTCTATGCACAGGAGTTTCTGGATGAGCCAGTATGCGAACCTGGGGACCAGGTACCCCCAAGAGCCTCTCTTTCCATCCAAGCAAGTTCCTCCCTATCCCGGAGGCCAGCCTGGAGGCAGCCCATATCCAGTGCAGCAGGAGGCTGGAAAGTTAGAGCCTGGGAAGAACTTCCCAGCTGGAGGTGTGGTGTGGTGTGTTGTGGTGTGTGTGTGTGTGTGTGTGTGTGTGTGCTCATCCTTCGGAGATTAGAACCCCTGGAGGGCAGTGAGGTTTCTTAAGTGGCCAGGGGGGAGAAATGGAAAAGATGAGGTTTGCCTGGTGTGGAGAGGGGTCGGGTTGGGGGCACGGAGAGGAAGATGGGGGCGGGAGGGGGGGCAGGGCTGTGCTCTGTGTGGTCAGGCTGGGTGGGGGCCACCAGGACCAGGAGCCCAGGATCAGCCCTCAGGGCCTTGCTGGGCGCCAGTGCTCCCTGGAGGGCAGCCCTGGGAGGGGGCTCTGGCTGTGAGCGGGAGGGGGTGGGGGAGGCGGTAGGAGAGAGGGGCGTGTGTGTTTGCGTGTGTGTGTGTGTGTGTGTGAGATAAGGCCAGACCCACCAGGTTCCTGGGCCCGCCTGGAGTCCTGGGCCGGGGATCCTGGGGGGCGGACCCTCCCGTCTCGCCCAGGAAGGCTTGAGGCGGGGCGCTGGGAGGCCCTGAGAGAGGAGAGGGCGGGCCGGCCTCTGTCCACCGCATTAGTGCTGGTCGGAGGGAGGAGGGGGACACCGTCTGCCCGGTTCCCATAGCCGCCAAACTGAGCGGCTGCCATGGCGCTGGCCAGGGGGCTTTCCCAGGACTCCAGGGCCCCCGTCCTTCTGCTCCTGCTCCCTTGGACCTCTGCCTTTGCCCTCCTGGCTGGTGAGTTGGGGTACAGGTTTTGGAGGAGGGGCTCTGGGGCACCGTCTGTTGGCTCTCCAGGTTCTGGGGAGTGCTCGGTGGGAGGGTCGGGGGCAGGGGGCCAGCAGGAGTTGGGGGAATGCACTTCTGAGGGGAGCTCTGGATCCTTTGGGGGGCGACCACCATGTTCCAGCACTGGGGAGGGCTCTGTGAGGGTTGCTGGGGTCCCTGGGGTTAGAGTAGTCCTGGGTGCTGCAGGTGGGGGTGGGGGACTGCAGGCTGTGGGCTGTCCCTGGCCAGTGGGCACTGTGTCAGCAGTGCTGCAAGTGTCCCGTGCAAGTTGTGGGGTGGACGCGGCCCCGAGGGTTGAGCTGTCCTGCCCTCTGTGTGCCCAGCTCAGAGCACCGGGTGGAGAGCGGGAAAGAAGACAGGGCTGGCCGGTGTCCGCCGCCCCTCCCCATGTGGGTCAGTCCTGCCTGCGTGGGGCGGGGCCGCCTAACCTGCTCCGGGTCCCTTGGATGTGTTGTCCCCTCCCCCGCATTCCAGACCCAACTGAAAGGGCTTCCGACAGCCAGACCCCCCAGCCGGCCAGACCCAAGTGCTTTTGCTTTTGTTTGGGTGGATTCACGCGTGTGCAGGCCTGGAATTCCTCCTGGTGGGGGGGGGCTTGGGGGGCCCTTTGTCTTGGTCACTATAGCTACAGGCACCAGGCCTGGGAAGTCCCCACCCCCCGCTGGCCCAGGCTGAGGGAGGGAGCCCAACATGGGGGGGCCTGGGCTGTGGGGCACCAGCCTCCCCCAGATCCCTCCACCTGGAGCTTTGAGGTGTGTATGTGGGGGGGGGGCGCAGATAGCAGCTTTCATTTATCTCCTGCTGCTTGTGCACACACACCCCTGCACCCGGCACACCCCCTCGAGCAGGTGGACGTGTGAGTGACCACGCGTGCACGGCCAGGGTTCTCCGCCAGTCAACACACAGTGGTCCACACTGCAAACACTCACCCTGGCCCCCTGCAGATACTGGGTAGGGACCGCCCCCCCACCCCGCCCCCAGGGGCGATCTGGAAACCCAGGGTGGGGGTGGGAGCGTCCAGTCTGCAAGCACTGACTACCAGCAGGGAAAGTCCGTTTCCACCCCTGAGAGGCTGAGGGTTCTGGCGGGCCCCTGTTCGGCCGCCACCGCTGCCCGCTGCCCTCCATCGGGGCCCATTCTGTCACCAAGCCCGGGCTGGTTGCTATGGAGAGGTCGAAGCATGCCCGAGGACAATGGGGCTCTCCCCTTCCCACCCCCCTTCCCCCCCACCTCCCCCCCCCCCAGCCTGGTTTACAGAGGGGCGGGGACTCCTCATCCCTCCTGGAAGGAGCAGTGCAGGGGCTGGGCCGGGAAGCACCCGCCACCCACAGGAGGAGTTGGGAGTAAGTCAGTGTACCCCAGTGGGGGTTAGCTGGGTGACTGGCCGAGCTATGTACCGGCAGACACTGCACCCCTGAAGCGACGTGAGGGAACTGAATCCCCCTCACAGGCCCCAGAGCTTGGCTGGTCCAGCCCCTGTTCATTTGCAGAGAGGGAAAGGGGGCTCAGAGAGGGTCAGTCAGGACCCCAGAGCCAGTGTGTGGCTGGGCCTAGCTTGCAGGGGGCACCCTGGCACAGGACAAAGCGCCAGCAGCAACCTCAGCGGGCTCGGGCCAATAGTAGAGTGATGAGTGGCACAAAAACCCCAGTGCCCCAGGAAGCTAGGCTCCCAAACCCATCCATGGTGAAGTGACTAGCCTCGGGGGTCAGAGACAGCCCCCCACTTATTCTGCTTCCTGATTGGAAACTCTGGGGCACATTCGCCCCCCCTCCCCAGGGCACAGAGTTAACACCTCACCCACAGCAGCTCTGCAAATCTCACTGTCTTCACTGTGGCCAGATGATGCATTTTTGCCTAGTGAGCGAGGGATACTTTGTTTCGAAAAAGTTTTAGGGCTTGAGGATAGCACAGCGGGGGCGTTTGCCTTGCACACAACCCGGCTGACCCAGAGTCTGATTCCCAGCATCCCATATGGTCCCCTGAGCACCCCCCGAGAGTAATTCCGGAGTGCAGAGCCAGGAGTAACTCCTGTGCATCCCCGGGTGTGACCCAAAAAGAAAAAAAAGTAAGTTTTTTTTAATTGAGAAAACATCACACAACGTACAAGTTTCATGTATGCATGGTTATAAATTAGAGTTTGGTTAGAATAAATTCTAGCAGTAGAGCTCCTTTCCCCCTACGATTTGTATTACGAGAACGTGGTTCATACTCTAGCTGTATCGAGTGCTGCCTCACCAGCCCCCCAGCAGGGAGCGGCAACCCCTCACCCTGTCTGTCCCACTGTCCCTTCTCCACTCTAGGAACTCCAAAGGATGCCTCCGGGATTCCTCCTGGCAGTGCTCGAGGGACCATTTGGGATGCCAGGGGCAAGACAAATGCCCTCCCTGATGTCCTATGGCTCTGGCCCCTCAGGGCTCATTGTTAATGGTGCTTGGAGAACTCTATGGGTGTCAGGGATCCAGTCTGGCAAGGCAAGTGCCCTCCCCGCTGTTCCATGATGATGTACCAGCCCAAACGATGCCTCTTCATCCCGTGTGTGTGTGGGGGGGGTGAGCCCCGTGGATACAGTGCTCCCAATTTAGCTGCTCTGTGGTTTTCTGCTTTGGTGAGTTGGGCTTTTGACTTTTCTGCCCTGGGGATCTTGGGTCCCCTGGCTGTGAGCAGGGCTACCGGGCTCTTCACAAGTACTGGACAGTCCATCTGGGGCCTGGTTCCTGCTCGTCCAATGTGGGGTGTGTCTGCAGAGAATTGGTTTAATTTTGTTTTGGGCCCAGGGATGACTCCTGGTGGGCTCTGGGGACCTTATGGCCGTGCCAGGGGTGGAACCCAGGACAGCCGCATGCCAGGCAAGTGTCCTGCCAGCTGGACTCTCTCTCCAGCCCTGAGAATTGTGTCTGGAGGGGCAGGGAGGTGGCTCCTCTTTTGCCCACGCTGCTGTGGGAGCCCCCGTTTCTGGGCGGGATTAACCGCTGCTGGGGACGGGTAGGGGGCGCGTGGAGGGGCTGTCAGGACTCTATGCTGAATTCACTGACAGGATGGAGCAAACACCGCCGGTAGCCTTGGCCAAGGGGGCGCTTGGAGCGCGGGAAGGCGAAGCCGGATCACCCCTGCATCCCATGGGGGGCTCTGCTCCAGCGCACCCACTTCTTCCCGCTTGGGATGCAGAGCGTGGGGATGCCAGCACCGCCCGCGGAGACCCCGGGCTTTAGGGGGATTCTCACGTGTCCTTCCCGCGCCCCCCGCCCGCCCCCAGCGCCGGTTAATCCCGCCCCACCCCCAGGTCGCGGCGGGCAGCCAGGGAGGTCAGGGGGGATTTGCAAAGATAAGCACAGGCCCCTCGTTGCCCTGGCAACAGGCCCCGCCTCTCGCCCGGCCCCTCCTTGGCCACGTCCCCGGCCCTCCTGGCTCCCTCCCTGGAGGCCCAAGGCGGGATGCCGCCCCCCAAGGTGCAATCTCCCCTCCCCCCAACCCCGCCCCCCCCCCCCCCCCGCCAACACCTCCCCTCCTCGGGATTGCAGGTCCCGCGGCGCGGCTTTCCCAGGCTGGGGAGTGAGGTGTGGGTGGGGTGCGGGGACCCCACCCAGAATGTGGGTAGCAGAGGCCCCGGAAGCTGACCCCAGACAGGGCATGCGCCCGCAGGTCTGGAGCCCTGCCCGTGCGGGCGTGGACCTGAGCCCCCTGTCCCCACCTGCTAACAGAGCCAGCAGCCCCCGTCTCCTGGCTACACTGGTCACTGGCGCTTGCCTTGGGGGACAGGCAACCCCTTCTCTCGGTGGACTGTGGCTGGACCCTTGGGGGTCCCCCGTGGTGAAGGGCTTTCCCCCCTATGCCCCCCAGGAGCCATCTCTCCTGACTGCCAATAGTGGGGTCTCGGATAGGGACCGCTCTGGAAGGGGGGGGTTGAGGCCACACCGATGATGGGGCATGATGGTAACTGCTGTGTCCCCCAGGATCCATCGTGCTGACGGGGCATGTGCCCCCAGGGACACTGTCCCCACACACCAGCTGACTGTCGCTTCCCAGGCTGAGTGACTCTAGCCTCACCTGCCCATCTCACCCTGGGGACCAGGCTTCCGAGTGATGGACAGATTGGGTAGCAGCCCTTCCTCCAGGTGGGCAGAAGGAAGGGCTGCCCTCGGGTTCAGACTTGGACACAGGGGCCTGGACTCACTGCCCTGAACCGAGAGAAGTGCAGGCTGAGGCTGGTGGACCCTGCCGAGGTCCCTGAACTGGGGGTGACAGCAGGGTGGTTCCCTGAGTCGCTGCCTTGCTGTCCTGCCGGCCTTGGCCGAGGAAGGTGGGGGGTCCGCAGAGGACCAGGCCTGCCTGGTGGAATGTGAATGACCCCAGAGGCTGCTGGCCTTATCTGGGGGTCTTCACCAGGCCGGGGGAGGGGAGCACAGGGCCAGAAGCAGGCCTGGTTCTTGTCTGGATGACAACCTGGGGTGGAGGAGGGGGCTCTAGGGCGGCCGCCCCTGGGGCGCTCCCTCCCCCCCATTCCTGCACTGGTCTGTCCTCTTTGCACAAGACTGTGGTGGGGGGGAGGCTGCCCAAGGCCTCAGAGCTGGTCATTGTCAGAGCTGGATTCCATCTGGAGGCTTTGCCTCTGGGTCACACCTTGGGGTACGGGGGTGGGGGCGGGGGGGGCACACCTGGTGCTCAGGGTTTACTCCTGGCTCTGTGATTGGGGATCACTCCCGATAGGTTCAGGGGACCATATGGGATGCTGGGAATTAAACCCAGGTTGGTTACATACATGACAAGCACCCCACCCGCTGTGCTATCACTCTGGCCCCCAGAAGCATAAATTCTAACCCTGGCTTGACAGGAAGACACTGGGGAGGGGAGGGAGGGAAGGTGATTTCTCTCTCTCCCTCTCTCTCTGTCTCTGTCACTCTTTCCTCTCTCTGCCTCTCTGTCTCTCTCTCCTCTGTCTCTCTGTCTCTCTCTCCTCTCTGTCTCTCCTCTCTCTGTCTCTCTGTCTCTGTCTCTCTCTCCTCTCTCTGTCTCTGTGTCTCTGTCTCTCCTCTCTCTCTGTCTCTCCTCTCTCTGTCTGTCTCTGTCTCTCTCTCCTCTGTCTCTCCTCTCTGTCTCTTCTCTGTCTCTCCTCTCTGTCAGTCTCTGTCTCTCCTCTGTCTTTGTCTCTGTCTCTGTCTCTGTCTCTGTTTCTCTCTCTCTCCCTGTGACTCCAGTGACCTTGGCAGGCCGGCCATCAGGAGGTTGTGGTGGTGTGGGGGGGGTCGGGAGAGCAGGAGAGGGGCCGGGCTCAGCTCTGCCTTTGAAGTCCTCCAGCTCCAGTTTCACGGGGGATGAAGTTACCAGACCCCCAGCAGCAGGGGCTGGGGAAGAAATCCCTTCCTGCACCTCCTGGAAGGAACTGGCCCCGAAGTGGGGTGGGTGGGAGCTCAGGGGGACACTGCTCCCCTCAGGTGGGTGCAGCCCAGATCCTCTGAGCCCTCACTTCTCTCTCTGGGTCTGTCTCCCACCCTGGGAACCTGGCATGACCTGCTAATCCGTGGGGGATGGTGAGTGATGGACACTGGGCACAGTGGACGCCAGATTCTTGGGGTTTAGGTGCTGACTGTTGCCAGGGCACGGAACGTCCGGGTCTCTGAAACCATGGCCAGCCTGGGGGCTGCCTTGGGGCTGGGCAGACATAGGGGTACCCAGCCCGTGCTCCTCTCTCTGCAGGTACTGGATCTCTGGAGCCCCCCAGCACCTGTGCCTCAGCCCCATGCCCGCCGGGGTCCCGGTGCCAGGCTACTGACGATGGTGGCTACACCTGTGCGCCCCCGGAGCCCGGAGGCTGTGCCAGCCAGCCCTGCCACCATGGTGCTCTGTGTGTGCCCCTGGCCCCAGACAGCCAGGGCTTCCGCTGCTACTGCGTCCCCGGATTCCAGGGTCCCCGCTGTGAGCTGGACATCGACGAGTGTGCATCCAGGCCCTGTCGCCACGGGGCCACCTGTCGCAACCTGGCTGACCACTTCGAGTGCCACTGCCCCCTAGGATATGCGGGTAAGGGCAGCAGCCCGGGAGGAGGTGGGGAGGCGGGTCCCACAGGAATGACCTTGCTTGGACTTTGGTGCCAACTCATGCCCCAGATCCCTACCTCCTGGCAACCCTGGGGTGTAGCTCTCTGGGTATTGCTCCAGAACGGAGGCTTTTCTGGCCAACTGGGGATTGGGGAGCGCTGGCACAGGCCTGGGAGGGGAGGGGCACTGAGCACGGTTGTTCCCATCCCTTGGGGCTGTGGAGACACCTTGTGGGTATTCCTGGCGAGAGCAGAGAGCAGACCGTCTGGTCTGGCTTTCAGGAGGACACGTCCAGGGGAGATGGCTCAGAGGGACAGTGAGCATGCTCCCACAGAGGGAGTGGGAGTGGGAGCCCTGGGGGCTATCCCTGAGCACCTCCAGGAGTGAGCACTGAGCACCAGGTAGGCCTGAGCACCAACAGGAGTCCTAAAAAAATTTTTTTTTCTTTTTGGGTCACAGCCGGCGATGCACAGGGGTTACTCCTGCCTGGCTCTGCACTCAGGGATTAGTCCTGGTGGTGCTCAGGGGACCCTATGGGATACTGGGAATCGAACCCAGGTCGGCTGCATGCACTATCTGCTGTACTATCGCTCCAGCCCCCATCCCACCCCCAATTTTTTTTAAGGAAAGGAAGAAAGAAAAAGAAATAAGGAAAGAAAGAGAAAGCAAGTAAGAGGAAAGGAAAGAAAAGAAAGGAAAAGAAGAGATGGGGAGGAAAGGGGAAGGAGGAGGAGGGGGGAAGGGAAGGGAGAATCAAAAGAAAAGAAATTGGATATTTCCAGGATCTGCTGACTCCAGACAGGAGTGTACATGCCATTGATTTGGTGGAAGGTTCTAGAGTCTGAGGCCCTAGTGTGTTGGGGGGTGATGTGGGCTCCTCCCTCTGGGAGCCCCCCTGTGGCCCTGTAGTCTGGTTCAAATGTGACCCTGTGGGGTCCCTGCCGTCTCCCGCAGAACGTCTATACCCGCATAGAAGTGGCTGCAGCCACCCTTCCAGGGGGCGGCCTTGTGCCCACAGCAGTGGGAAGGGAAGTGCCTCAGGGGGCAGTTGGGAACCTGCCCTTAGTCTCTGCGGAGGTTCGGGGGGCCGCTATTTGAACCTGAATTCAGACCACAGAGGGCAGAGGGCAGTATGAGGCGACCTCAGAGCAGAGAGGACCAGCTCGGGTGGGGTGTGGAGGCACATTCTGTCTCAGAGGGGGCTGACAGCAAAGAGCGGGACACACCAAGGGAAATGAACTGAGTCCTGAGCACTGCCAGGTGGAGCCCCAATCCTGGGCCCCAGCAGCACCACATCCTTGGGCGCTAGCATGGAACTGCTCACCTGGCTAGCTAGGTATCACCGGAAGTGGCCCCCAGCCCCAGGATCACACTTGGAAAGCCAGCAAAAAAGAAAAAGATGGGGCTGGAGCAATAGCACAGCAGGTAGGGCATTTGCCTTGTACATGGCCGACCTGGGTTCAATTCCCAGCATCCCATATGATCCCCTGAGCACCACCAGGAGTAATTCCTGTGCATCGCCGGGTGTGACCCAAAAAGAAAAAAAAAGATTCTGCAAACGGTTCAAATTGTTCTCAGCATTGTGGAGGAGGTAGAGGAGGGGGCTGGGGTCAGGCTCATGCGCTGCGTGTATGTGTGTGTGTGCATGTGTGTGTGCGTGCATGTGAGTCTGTGATGTGTGTGCATGTGTTGTATGAATGCATGCGTGTACATGAGTGTGTGCCCGTGTGTACATGTGTGTGCCCGTGTGTACATGTGTACATGTGCATGAGTCTGGTGTGCATGTGTACACGTGTATGCATGTGTGTGTGCGCATGTATGTGTGTGTGCATGTATGTGTGTGCATTTATCCGTGTGTGTGCGTGGCCCCCTGTGTACCTCTGTGCGTGTCCGTGTCTGTGGGTGCCTGGGCTCCCTGAGTGCACCTTTGCTCCCCGTGTGTGTGGCGTGGCTGGGGACACACCTGGAAGAGGGGCGCTCAGGCCCTTGGGCTCTCTGGGGGAGTAGGGATGTGAGGGGCAGAATCTGCCGTGACTCATTTCTCTCCTGTTTCCCTCCCCGGTGGAGCCGGGCGGGGGAGGAGAGATTCCAGGCGGCCTGGGCCTGGCTCCCCCTGGCACAGAGTCTGGGACGGGCGGGCGGCGGGGGGGGCGGGAGGGGCTGTCCTTTGGGCTCCCTGAGTTGGGACGGGGCGGGGGAGGAGGGTCCAGCTGGAACCTGCTGGGCCTCTGGGCCGCAGAAACAAATCCACTGAGGACAGGGGCAGGGCCATTAGAATCTGTAATGACCACTGAGCTACAGGGGGCTGGACACCACTCCACTCCCAGGCCTCTATCTCTGTCTCTGTCTGAGAAGTGGCATCCGTTTGGTCCTGGACGGAGACTGAGGCCCTAGCACTGGAGCCTTAGGGTTTTGTTCTTTTCCCCCTCCTTTTTCTCTTTTCATAAAGCCATGCTCAGCAGTGCTCAGGGCTTACTCCTGGCTCTGCATTCAGGGGTCACTCAAGGATCACTCTCTGCGGTGCTCAGGGGACCAAACGGGGTTCCAGGAATTGAACCTGGGTATGACTGAACCTGGATGGGCTGTGTGCAAGGGGAGCGCCTCACCTGCTGTACTATCCCTCTGCTCCCCCCCTGATTTGGGGTTTTCGATGCTGGGATGGAGCCTGGAGCCTCCCATATGTAAGGGTCTGTTTCGGAGCTGCATCCCAGGGCCCTGGGTCCTGGCGGTTTTGAAACCGGGGTGCACAGGAGCAGTTTACCCTGGAATGTGTCCTTCCCTGGGACACACTGTCCAGTGCTCTGTGAACCCTCCAGAGTGAGTTTTCATGGTGAGGGGCACATCTGGACGTCTTGGGGCTACTCCTGCCCATGCTGGGGCGGGGTTGCCCTGCCCTAGGAACCGTATGGGGCTGAGGGTTGAACCCTTTCTCCTGCCAAACCTGTGCTCAGTCATTCAGACCGACTCTTAGATGCAGAGAGGGTGGTGATATGACAGTGTCTCCAGTCCTGTCCCCCAGCTGCCTCCGTTTGAGGACAGGCCTGGATCGTATTACAGATCCCCAGAGCCTAGCCACTGCCCTGCACCCCTGCCTCATCACCAGCGCCCTCCCCTCTGTCCCTCCATATGCCCCCAGTCTCCCTGCCATTACTCCATGCCAGCCTGGAGAACACCCCTTAGCCCCTATGAGGCGACTCTTCCAAGAGCCTCCCAGCATCCCAGAATCCCCAGTTCTTTTTGGTCGTAGTTTACTTATTTTTCTTGTTTTCCGTTTGGGGGGTCCCACCATGCTGTGGCGGCAGGGATGGAATCTGGGCCCCTGTGAGCCAGGCAAGGGTCTTCCTGCCACGCAGCCTCCTGGGTCCCCACCCCGTTCCTGTTTTTACAGGTTCCAGGACTCCCCGCCCTCCCCCGCACCCCCCCCCCCCACCACTGAGTTGATCAAAATGCAAACCCTGTCCTGTTTTTTGGGTAATATTGACTTAACCCCTGTTTCCCTGGCTAGACAGCCGCGGGCTGCAGGGCCCAGGAATGTTCTGTCTTGTTTCCGCGCCGCGGTGGGTTCAGGAGACACCTGCTTGGACTGACGCGGCCAAGCGGATGCTCTGCCTAGACTGTCCTTCCCCGTGACCCCGTGACCTTCCCCGGGTGGGGCGCGGCCTCTGCCTGGGCATCTGGACGTGCATCTCTCTGTCTGTGTCCCAGGCGTCACCTGCGAGGAGGAGGTGGACGAGTGCGCCTCGGGGCCCTGCCTGCACGGGGGCTCGTGCCTGGACGGCGTGGGCTCCTACCGCTGCGTGTGCGCCCCCGGCTACGCGGGCACCAGCTGCCAGCTGGATCTGGACGAGTGCCAGAGCCAGCCGTGCGAGCACGGGGGCGTGTGCCACGACCTGGTCAACGGGTGAGGCGCGCGGCGGCGGGGGGTGGGGGGGGTAGGGGATGGGGGAGGCGAGGGGCGTGGAGGGGGCGGGCGATGGCGAGAGACTGGAGGCTGGGGCTCAGCTCGGGGTGTGCCCTGGCCGCCAGGTTCCGGTGCGACTGCGCGGACACGGGCTACGAGGGCGCACGCTGCGAGCTGGAGGTGCTGGAGTGCGCGTCTGCGCCCTGCGCGCACAACGCCACGTGCCTCGACGGCCTCGGGAGCTTCCGCTGCCTCTGCTGGCCAGGTGGGGGCGCGCGCGGGCTGGTCCTGCGTCCTGGGTGGGGGAGGGGGACATCACGGAACCTGGCAACCCCCCCCCCCCTTGTTGGAGCCTCACTTTCCTGATCCGTCCCAAAGGGGCTCATCAGGACCCCTGGCGCCGGGGCACTGTGAGGGGAATCAAGGTGTGGGGCCCGGGAAAGGTGGGCACAGGGCCTGGCACGCGCTCACTTTGACGGGAATGTAGTAATGGGACGCAGAGTGGGGGGTTGTTCACTGGTCACTCCTCCCGCCCCGGACCGGCCAAGGGGACACTGCAGAGGGGCTGCCCCCGCCCCTGTGTGCTCCGACACCCTCGTCTGTGTGCGCCTCCAGGCTACAGCGGTCAGCAATGTGAGGTGGACGAGGATGAGTGCGCAGCAGAGCCCTGCCAGCACGGGGGCCAGTGTCTGCAGCGCTCGGACCCGGAGCTCTACAGCGGGGCCCAGGCCGCCTTCCCCGGCCCCTTCAGCTTCCAGCACGCGGCTGGCTTCCTGTGCCGCTGCCCTCCCGGCTTTGAGGGTGAGTCTCACTTCTCAGGGATGGTGGGCTGCAAAGGGGAGGGCTACTGCTGGTGAGACTCAAAGCCAGCACTAGCACCTTGCAAAGGGGTCTCAGTCTTCCAAGCCATATAACGGGCCCATCAGCAGCTGGTGAGATGGTCCAGGCAGGTAGGGGGCTTGCCTTGCATGCAGCTGGCTGAGGGTTTAGTCCCAGGCGCCTCATATTGTCCGCTGAGCCCTGCCAGGAGTGATCCCTGATGAGCAACAGAGCCCGACACCAGTCCTGAGTACTTCCCCGCAGACAAAAACCCAAACAATAAAATGGGCCCCTCCAGCTGCGGTTGCTGAGACGGTGCTTGGGAGGGCACAGCTGGGCCTCTTTCAGGGGACGACTGTGGCGTGGATGTGGACGACTGTGCCTCCCAGCCATGTCACAACGGAGGCAGCTGCCAGGACCTGCCCAACGGCTTCCAGTGCCACTGTCTGGACGGCTACACAGGTGCCCGGGGTGGGCTGGCACGGGGAGGGGCTGGAGAGGTGGGGGGCTTTGGGGAAGGTGGAGTCTCCGGCAGGTGTGGGCAGGCTGGAAGTGGGTGTGGTGACCTCGGTGGCCCCTGAAGGTTGGGACCCAGCTTTGGAGGAGGTGGGCGTGGAGGGACTTATCCTGGACAGAGGCTGCGGTCAGGACTGTTCTAGCCAGAGTGGGGTGTGCTTGGGCGTCCGCCCTGGGTGATGTTGGCTGGAGGCTGGAGGCTGGAGGTCAGCCTCTTCCATACTGTGCAGGCTAGGCGGCTGGGGGCTGACCCCAGAGGAGGGTCTGGGCTGGAGCCAGACGGCAGCTGGGGGGATGGGTGGAGGGCTCAAGGTAGTCCTAGGGGGTGAGGTAGGAGCTGATCTCAAAGGCCTGGGCAAAAGGAGGGCAGAGGAGTGAACTGGATGCAAGAAGGAGCTGATTAAGCCTTGGGGCGCTGAGGTGTGTAGGGCAGGGGTGCAGCAAGATTGCCTGGGGCACGTGGGCCCCATTCCCTGGAGTCTCCTCACCCCGTTCTGTGCTGTGCTTCTCGCACGCCCCGCGTATCCCTGCCCCCTGGAATGCCTCCTCCTCCACGCAGCCTGCATTCCTGTCCTCCTCTCCCCAGTGGACAGAGCCCTTGGCACGGCTCCCCCACACGGAAAGGATGCGGTGACCATCTCTGGCCCTCCCCCTTCATCCATACCAAGACACGGGCTCAGTGTCCCCGCCCTAGAGGGCGACTGCCCCTGGGGACCCTGTGAACTCATCCTGTACCCCCGTGGGTCAAGGTCCGGTCCTGCCAGTCTCTGGGGTGCCACCTTGTGCTCCTTCCTTGGGGGGAGTGCCTCTGCCCTTGGGCGCCGGGCCCCATGAGGCTCTAGGGCGGCTTCAGGGAGGGGGTGTCACCCTAGTTCCGCTGTGGCCCCGGAGCCCGGCTCCTCCCCACACTGAGCTCAGCGGGCGGGTGACAGGGAGGTCAGATCGGGGCGGTCGGGAGCAGGAGGGGGACCGTGGCAGCCGGGCTGGGCAGTGTCCACGCTCATCCTCCCTGCAGGCTGGGCCGGGCGTGGGGGAGGCCAGCGCCTGGCATTCCTGAGCCGACGCTGGAGGAGCAGGGTCCCCGCCCACTGCTCAGCTGCCGCAGAGGCCATGGGGCCACCCGCTCCGAGTGCCTTCCTGGGGTGCCTGGTGCTCCTGGCAGGTACGAAGCAGGGGGGCGGACGGGGTGAGGGCTGTGTGGGCTCCCTGGGGGCTGGCCCTGGAAGGTTTGTCAAACTGGGGTCAGGCTGGATACTCTTCACGCGTGCTGGGACTGGGAACCCGTTCTGGGGACTAAGATTACAGAGGGTTGGGGCTGGAGCGATAGCACAGCGGGTAGGACGTTTGCTTTGCACACGGCCAACCCGGGTTTGATTCCCAGCATCCCATATGGTCCCCCGAGCACTGCCAGGAGTAATTCCTGAGTGCATGAGCCAGGGGTAACCCCTGTGTATCGCCGGGTGTGACCCAAAAAGCAAAAAAAAAAAAAAAGATTACAGAGGGTTACGGGGGCTGGGGGTGGAGGGGCAGGGTCCTGGGTAGCGGCCTGGGGTATCAGGGGCACTGGGGGGCTGGAGTGAGGGTCTGTTTGGGTGCCACGGTGGCAGGCGTCTCCCTGCTTCAGTGTTCACGGTCCACAAAAGCCACGCCCGGCCTGTAGCTGGCCGGCCACTGAGGATATTTTCAGGTCTCGGGAGATGACATCTGAAAAGGCATCCAATACAGGCCTTAGGGCCTGGGACAGGGCACGGGGCTGCAGCAGGAGGCCTTTCTATGCAGGAGGCCCTTGTGTGCTCCCTGGCCCTCATGGTTCCCCCAGCACCTCTGGGAGTCCAGGCCCAGGAGTCGCCCGGACGGAACCCCCCCCAAAAAAAATCAGTAGGGTTCAGGGGGTGCTGTGGGCAAGGAATTGGTAGTGATGTAGTTCACTGGGGTTGGGGGTAGTCAGAGAGAGAGAGATCTCTGAGCAGATTGGCACTTTGAATCAGGGCTTTGTGGGGTGTGTAGGAGTGTGGGAAGCAGGGTACGGAAGGATAAGGCATCTCCAACAGCGGCGAATGTGGACAAGTAGGTCAAGGTTTGTAAGGAGCAGGGGAGAGACTTGAGAGTCCGGGATGGAGCAGAAGTACTGGAGAACTTGGTTGGGGCTTTCAAAGTGGATCCTGGGCGCTGAGGAGCTGGGAGGTGGGAGGGGGTGTCCTGAGGGCAGGAGAACCGGAGGCCTGGGGAGAGGCGAGGAGGGTATAGGATGCTGATCAGAGTGGGCCTGCCGACAGAGGAAGCCAGGCATTTGGACCTCATGCAGCAGCAGGAGAGCCCCGAACCCCTTCCATTATCTGTCTGTTGCTCCGTAGTGAGATCCCCGGCATGTGAGGCATGGAAGTTTTGGCTTTAGACCCTGACTCTGCTCTCTCCTGAAGGTCTGACGTGTCAGCAAAACGTGGACGACTGTGCCTCGGGGCCCTGCCTCCACGGTGGCACATGTGAGGACGCTGTGGCCAGCTACATCTGCTGGTGCCCAGAGGACTGGGGTGGACACGACTGCTCAGTGCGGCTCACTGGCTGCCGGGGCCAGCCTTGCCCCCCAGCGACCACCTGCACGCCCACCTTTGAGTCGGGAGTTCACAGTTACACCTGCCGCTGCCCTCCTGGCACCCATGGACCTCTGTGCGGCCAGAACACCACCTTCTCCTTGGTGGCTGGGAGCCCCGCATGGGCATCGGTGCCAGCCAGGGGCCCCCTGGGTCTGGCGCTGAGGTTCCGCACCACGCTCCCCGCCGGGGCCTTGGCCAGGCGCACGGACGCCCGGGGCAGCTTGGAGCTGGCTCTGGCGGGGGCCACGCTGCAGGCCACGCTCTGGACACTCGGCAGCGTGGCGCTGGTCCTGCGGCTGCCCAACCTGACCCTCAACGACGGCCACTGGCACCGCGTGGAGGTGACACTCTGCCTCGGGGTTCTGGAGCTGCGGCTCTGGCACGAGGGCTGCCCTGCCCGGCTCTGTGTGGCTTCCGCTCCCGTGGCCCCCAGCCCTACGGCCTCCACGGCCCCTGCACCCACCGGGCTGGGCTCCATCCAGCTGGGTGGCTCGGCCTTTGCCGGCTGCCTCCAGGATGTGCGTGTGGACGGGCGGGTCCCGCTGCTGCCCGAGGATCTGGGCGGGACCGTGCTCGTGGGCTGCGAGCGCCGGGAGCAGTGCCAGCCGGCACCGTGCGCCCACGGAGGGCTCTGCGAGGATCTGTGGACCCACTTCCGCTGCGCCTGCCCCCGGCCGTACCTGGGACCCACCTGCACTGAGGGTGAGGAGCCGGCGGGTGGGAGGGGCCTCAAGCCCCGCCCCGGACCCAAGCCCCGCCCACCCCGCCCGCTCACCTCTAGCCTCGCCCCAGGTACCAGGCCCCGCCCACCAAGCCTGCACGTCTCACCCTAGTCCCCGCTCTCCCTGCAGAGGTTCCTGCGGCCACTTTCGGCCTGGGGGACACCCCGAGTGTGGCCACCTTCCTGCTTCCCCAGCCGCCAGGCCCCAACCTCACCGTGTCCTTCTTCCTGCGCACCAGGGCCCGCGCCGGCCTGTTGCTGCAGCTCGCCAACGAGTCCGACTCGACGGCCACCCTCACGGTCTTCCTGCGGGAGGGCCACGTCTGGGCCCAGCTTCCAGGCGCCGCCACCGCCCGGGAGCTCCCGGGGCACTGGGACGACGGGCTCCGCCGCCTGGTGACACTCAGCCTCGGGGCTGACCGGCTGCAGGGCTGGGGACAGCAGGTGACCGTGGGCGGTCGGCTCCTCTCCGCTGATGCCCGGCCTTGGGGGGGCCACTTTCGAGGCTGCATCCAGGACCTGAGGCTCAACGGCCTCCACCTTCCCTTGTCTTCGTGGCCACTGGGGAACTCAAGCCAGCCTGGCCAGCTGGGCAGTGGGCAGGCCTGGAATGTCACCGCTGGCTGTGTCTCCGAGGATGTGTGTAGCGTGAGTGCTAGGGCACCGGGCGGTGGGGAAGGGCCGGACCTTTCCCAGGTTCTGCTGGGAGGGGCAGGGCGGGTCCCACCCCAGAGGGGCACAGCCGGTGGGTCTCTGGCCCCCAGCCCTTCCCCTCCTCCTTCCCCGAGGCTCCCTCTTTCCCTCCCTCCTTCCTTCCCTCCCTCCCTCCCTCCCTCCCTTCCTTCCCTCCTTCTTCCTTCCTCCCTCCCTTTCTCCCTCTCTCTCCTTCTCTCCTTCCTCCTCCCTCCCTCCCTCCCTTCCTTTCTTCTTTTCCTGATTCTCTATCCTTCCTCTTTTTTCCCTCCTTCCTTCCTTCCTTCCTTCCTTCCTTCCTTCCTTTCCTTCCTTCCTTCCCTCCCTCCTTCCCTCTCCCTTCATCTCTCTATCTCCCCTCCCCATACTCCACCTTCCTGCAGGAAACACCCCAGGCCAGTGCACAGAGCATCAGCCCTGGGTCCAGATAGCCGGACTGTGAGATCTGTTCCTTCCTGACTGGACCTTTCTCTTTTCTGAGCCTCAGTTTCCTCACCTGTGAAGTGGGTGTGCCCAGGGCTTTCTCTGCCTGGGCAGGAAACCAAGCCAGTCGCTGCCCATTTCTCCCACAGTCCGAGCCCTGTCTCAATGGTGGGACCTGCCTTGTCACCTGGAACGACTTTCGCTGCACCTGCCCTGCCAACTTCACAGGCCCCACATGTGCCCAGCCGTTGTGGTGTCCTGGGCAGCCCTGCCTCCTGCCCGCCACCTGTGAGGAGGTGCCTGGGGGATTTGTCTGTGAGTATGGGGCGGGGGCAGGCTGGGTGCGGGATCAGACCTCACAGACAGGGACCAGGAGGCCCAAGGAGCCAGCCTCTGTGTCCAGAGGGCAGAGGGTGGGGCTTCCTGGAGAAGACGAGGGCAAATGAGACCGGCAGAGGCAGGACAAGGACAGGTGACCGTAGGGGAGAAGGACTGCAAGGCCAGAGAGAGAAATTGAGGGCAGCCCCTCCTTCCTCCCACCTTCCTCCCTCCTTCCTCCCTCCTTTCTTCCTTCTTTCCCTCCTTCCTCCCCTGCTTTCTTCCCTCCCTTCCTCCCTACCTCCTATCCTCCCTCTCTTCCTCGCTCTTCTTCCTTCCTTCCTTCCTTCCTTCCTTCCTTCCTTCCTTCCTTCCTTCCTTCCTCCCTTCCTCCTTTTCCTTCCCACCCCTTCCCTCCTCCTCTCCTCCCTTCCTTTCTTTGGACTGTGCCAAGATTCAAACCAGCTGCCAGGATGCGGGCAACCACCGTATCCCCTTGTACTATTTCTCTGGCCCCAAGCAAGGTTTTCCTTTCTTAAAAAAAAAAAAATGCCCTCTTGGTTTTGGATCACGCTTGGTGGTGCTGGGGAGTGAGGGTGGGGGGGTCCTCTCCCCGCGTACTCCGTGCCCATGCCGGGGCCCCAGCTCCCTCTGGCCCGTCAAGCTATCTCCCCGGTCTGCGGGGTTGTAAACGGAGCAAGGCCAGCGCGGAACAAAGTTGCACTGTGCAGATACCGAGAGCGCCGAGGAGACGAGGAGGAGACGGGGCGACTTGGCGCGGAGGCGTGGGGTGGGGCTGGCCAGTGCCGGGGAGGGGCGGAGATTGGATGCGCACCGGGCTCAGGGGACTGCCCAGCGCCGGGATGGGGGTAATGGGGTGGCTCCCAGAAGGAGGGGGACCGAGGGCAGGGGTGGGCGGGGGCGCTGCAGGTAGGCCGCGCCCCCCACCCCGCGCGCTGAGCGCCCCCCTCCCCTCTCCGCAGGCGTGTCCGAGGCCACGTTCCGCGAGGGCCCTCCGGCCGAGTTCAGCGGCGGGGGCAACGTGTCATCGCCGCTGGGTGGCCTGGCGTTGGCCTTCCGCACGCGGGACCCCGAGGCCGGGCTGCTGTGGGCTCAGGGGGGCGGCCAGGCCGTGTGGCTGAGCGTGCGCAACGGCTCGCTGGTGGCCGGAGTGCGCAGCGGCCCGGGGGCGGCCGGCGGGGCGGTGCTGCCCGCGCCCGGGCCGCGCGTGTCGGACGGCGCGTGGCACCGCGTGCGCCTGGCTCGGGAGCGCCCGGCGGCCGCTGCGTCGCGCTGGCTGCTGTGGCTGGACGGCGCGGCCACGCCGCTGCCGCTGCGGGGCCTGGCCGGGCCCCTGGAGTTCCTGCGCGGCCCCGACGGGGCGCGCGTGCGGCTGGCCGAGAACTTCACGGGCTGCCTGGGCCGCGTGGCGCTCGGCGGCCTCCCGCTGCCCCTGGCGGCCCCGCGGCCCGGCGCAGCCCCCGGCGCCCGCTCGCCCTTCTTCGCCCAGCCCGGCGGGCCCGCCCCCCGCCTCGGCTGCCGCGGCGCGCCCGTGTGCCACCCCTCGCCCTGCCTGCACGGCGCCTCCTGCCTCGACCTCTTCGACGCCGTCGCCTGCGCCTGCCGCCCCGGCTGGGAGGGACCGCGCTGTGAGGCCCGCGCGGACCCCTGCCGCTCCGCCGGCCGCCGCTGCAGGTGGGGAGCGCGGGGACCGCCTCTCCCTGTCTCTGCCCCACCGGTGCCCCCTGGAGCAGGCAGCTACCGTGCAGACCCTCCCCGCCGACCCCCATTTGCAGAGACTAGTGCGCGCTCCCTGCTGCTTCCCACTGGTGGGGAAGGAGCGGCCCAGTGGCGCTCCGGCGACCCCCCCCCGCCGCCAGCCCACCCCCTTGGCCGGGCTGGCGCTGTAGGACCTGGTGGTTCTGAACCCCGCGGAGGGGACCCCAGAGGCTCAGGATCTGGGGGTGGGAGGTCGGCAGTCGGGTCTCCTGTCCCCAGCCCCACCTCTGTGCCCCCTCCTCCCCAGGTCCCCTGTCTTGCCTGGAGACTGCGTCCTCAACTCCACCTGCCCCGGGGGTGGCCCTTGCGAGGAGACGCCTGGAGGGTTCAACTGCACGTGCCCGGAGGGCATCCCAGGCCCCAGGTGGGTGCTGGGTGTGGCACGCGGGTTGGGGGGGGGTTCCTTCCACCCTAGTCACTCAGGCCTGCCCTCTTGGGGTGCCCCAGATCCCCCTTCCTGCTGTGACAACACCCGAGTCAGGGGGCACATGGGAGCTTTGGCACGGGCTGACTCCGTGGGTTTGGTGAGGGAGCGGAGCTGGAAGGCCCAGTCCAGGTCCCCTCCAGGTGGCCAGGTGGACAGTGGGCGTATGGTGGGGGCTGAGGAGCTGGGGATGAGGCCGCTGGAGAAGGAACTTTCTCACCGAACCCTCCCCGCCTCCCTAGGTGCCCTGTGCCCTGTGATGCCAAACCCTGCCTGAATGGGGGCACCTGCCAGGTGGAGGATGGGGTCTACGAGTGTCTCTGCAGTGCTGGCTTCTCGGGCCGGTTCTGCGAAGTGGCGGTGAGTGGGGGTGGGTGAGGCAGGGGCTGAGCTGGGGGATGGGGGAGCTAGGGGCAGCCTCCCCTGGGCCTGGTGGGCCCCTGGGCAGAGCCCGTTTTCTCACTGGATACTGAGTGCTGTCCCCTGTCCTGCTCTGGGGACTCGGGGCCATGCCAGGGACCAACATTAACCAGGTAGCAGGGCTCACGGCTGAGGGACACCTCCCTCACACTGCCTCAGCTCAGAGGCAGGCAGTGTCTGTGCCTAACTGCCCCCTCCCCCCACTGTCCCCCTGCCCTGCCCTGCCTTGCCCTGCCCTGCACCAGACCCTGGGCCAGGCTCCTGCAGCATCTGTGGGCAGCTCCCAGGTCCAGGGGTGGCTCTTGCTCTCTCTGCTGACTTCTGAGCATGTGCTGACCGGGCACTGTCCTGCTGTCTGTGGCATCTGTTCTACATCTCTGCGTCTGTCCTGCTGTCTGGGACGTCTGTCCTGCATCTCTGTGTCTGTCCTGCCGTCTGGGGCGTCTGTCCTCCCTGCCCTCCTCTGACTGGGCACTGTCCTGCCGTCTGTGGCGTCTCTTGCAGGAGGGCCTGTCGCTGCCGTTCCCACTGCTGGAGGTGGCTGTGCCCGCTGCCTGTGCCTGCCTGCTCCTCCTCCTCCTCAGTCTGCTCTCGGGCATCCTGGCTGCCCGCAAGCGCCGCCAGTCCGAGGGCACCTACAGCCCGAGCCAGCAGGAGGTGGCCGGGGCGCGGCTGGAGATGGACAGTGTCCTCAAGGTGCCCCCCGAGGAGAGACTCATCTAGGCGTGTTCTGGGAGGCCGAACCTTCCTCTCAGCCAAGGGGAGCAGTCCCTGGGCCCCTCTAGGGGGCGCTCCACTGCCCACTGATGGACAGCTCCTGCTTCTACCTCCTCAGGGCAGAGGCAAAGGGGCACTCAGGGAAGCTGGGCTGACACCGCGAGCCCCTCAGGCCTTCCCATCTGGCCTAGGGCCATCAGTAAGGGACCCAGGGGAATTTATGTGCGTGCATAGGCGTGCATGTACGTGCGAGCACGTGTGCCTGTGTGCACACCCAGGCCTGAGAGTGCATGTACATGTGTACATGTGCATGCATGGACTGTGTGTGCATGGGTGTGTGGCTGTGTGATGTACACATGTGCATGTGTGCGTGCATGGACCAATCGTGTATACTTGTATATGTGCACCTTCATGTATGACTGTGTGCGTGTGTGTGTGTGTGTGTGCATGTGCCCATGGGTGTGTCTGCGTGGACTGTTTGTATGTGCACATCTGTGTGCATGTGCCCATGGGTGTGTCTACGTGGGCTATTTGTGTGTTCACACGTGTGCATGTGCCAATGGGTGTGTCTGTGTGGACTGTTGGTGTGTGCATGTGTGTGTTTCAAGATCTCCAGGACTGCCAGCTGGCAGATGTGGTGCAGATGTTTTAGGCGCGGTTCCTGTCACCCTCCTGTCATTGCTGTGGGTACACAGGACTGTGGGCACAAGTGTCACAGCCCAAGCTGTGTCATCTCTAGGCGGCTGGGCCGGGCTCCACCCAGGGCCCCTCTCCTTCTCCTTCTCTGGCTCCTGGGTGATTCCCACTCTGAAGGCCACTGGGAAAAGGGGTGGGACTTAGCCAGGGACAGTGGGTGTGCAGCATCAGGCCTGCTGGGGCGGGGGCTTCAGGCACACTCGGCTCCGCGGGCAGAGCTGAGCGCAGGTGCAGGGAAGGGGTCTGGGAGGCTGGCGAGGACCAAGATGCAGCCTGTGTCCCTGCCCACCTGCAGCTCCTGCAATGGTGGGGCTCTTGCCTCGGCGCCTCTGGTCAGCTCCCACTGCCAAGGGACCTTGCCTGAAGGCTTCTGGGGGTCCTGTGCCTGCTGTGCCATGCCCAGGAGACCCTCTCCCACCTTAGGCCGGAGGAGGACTTGACCCAGCATCCTGAGCCCTCGGGGAACTTGAGGAGGGGGGGGATAGGAGGGGGCCCGCCACCAGGCCAGCTGGCCATGCTTCTGAAGCATGGGGGGGGCCCAGGGGAGATGGCTGGGCCCCGAGTCAGACCCGAAAAACCCGTGTTCTTGGCAGACATGAGAGGGCACCTGGTGTGGAGCCCCAACACTGGAGATCCCCTGTTCCCTCTTCCCCTCGCTCCGAAGGTTCTGGCGTCTGTACTTCCTGGGGCAGACAGCGAGGCTGACTGGGGTGATGGGGGCGTTTAACCCACAACACTCAAGGCTCTTGGTCCCGGCTCACCTGCCCCCCCCCCCGCATCTCAGAGGGGCAGGCACCCCCTGATGTCAGGAGTCCCTTTCCTCAGCCCGTGGCCCTCTGCGGACACCCAGCTTGAGAGACTGAGTCCCTGGGGTCCCCTGCTGACCTCCAGGGGGCGCTGCGATTGTCACGCGTCTCCATGGCTACCCCAGGGCTTTGACTGCACAACTGTCATCCAGGAGGGTGGCCCCCTCCAGTCCAGAGGGAGTTGGAGATTTGTGGTGCTCAGAGGAGCCTGGGGGGCTGGTCCCTGCTGCCACGGGGACCAGTCAGCTTGGAGGGCGTCCAGGGGGCAGCTCCGTACCTGCCTAGGAGGAGGGGCTGGGAGAAACCTGGGCCCTGAGGTGCCCCATGCAGGCCTGAGAGGCTGACATGGACTCCGGGGTCCTCCCTGCTACAGGGGTCCGCAACCCTGTAAATGTTGACAAGGGTCCCTGGTGCTCTGGGGGCCTCCGGGGACCTCCCCCACCAGAAACTGCCTGAGTGTCCACAGACGGGCAGGCAGTGGGATGGACACAGGAGGGGCAATGCTGGCGTGTCCCAGACATCTCCGACGGGAGAGGGGGGTGGTCTGTATTGTCACTTCCTTTATTGAAACTAGTCGATTTCAAGATCCATCAAATCAATAAAGTGTAAGGAAAAAGAAAGACAAAGGGAACAGAAACGAAACATTTTGGCTGAGCTTTGGTGATGCTGCCTCGGGTATTCCTGCGCTGGCGAGAATCGGGGAGGCGGTGTTGGTGGGCTGGCACGGTGGCCCCCCCCCCCCGACCCCTCTCCTGCCTCCCAAGTTGGTCTGCGGACCCCGGGTCGTAGGTCGCTGACACCTACCCCCAGAATCCAGGCAGCCGTGACCCCCTGCCTCACTGTTACCATCCAGGTGGAAGGGGGAGGGGCACTTGCCCCTTGGCTCTGCCCGTGACACGCCGCCCCCCAACCCCGACCTGGAGGTCGAGTCCCCCAACGGGGCCGGATGCAGCTTCTCCTTCTGCCAACCAGAGTTGCTGGTGCTCCTGCCCGCTGCAGGCAGGGCTGTCTCAGGCTGTCTTGGGCTGCGCCCAGTTCTCCCAAGGGGGTCCCTCAGGGTTCCCTCCGCACCCACGTTCCGGCCTGTCCAGGAAACGGGAACCGGGACAGAAGGCAGGCGTGTACTGCTCGGGGCAGGCCCTCCAGGGGATGCCTGTGCCTGTCCAGGTGGACTGGGCAGCGTTGGACGGCAAGGGGGCAGCGGAGCGAAGGTCCCCGGAAAGCCTCACAGCCCCTGATGGAAGGTTCCAGAAGGAGGGTGGGTAGGTCAGCACCCACTGGACTGGCTGACCTCTCTAGTGCAAAACCCAACTGAGGGGGTGTCTGGGGGCAGGGTTCCTGGCCGGCCCTCGGTGGTGGCGGCGGGCGGTGTGGCAGGACCGGGGACCACGGAGCCCCGTCCATCCCGAGCAGCAGGACGCGCGGGCGCAGAGTGGCTGGCTGGCCCGGGGCTCACTCGAACGTCTCCCACTGTTTCCGCAGCTGCTCCACCGAGCCGGGGCCGGGCGCCGGGCTCACGTCCTGCCGGGTCTTCTGCAGCAAGTCCTCGAAGGGGTCTCTGGACTCCCGAGGGGCGGGGGCGCCCAGGCCCTGGGGGGGCTCCCCAGGCCGCCCCGACAGCCCCTGCTTGGCCTCGGCCGCCCTGGCGCTGGAGCGGGCCAGGGGCAACGTTCGGATCCTGGACGGGGGCACGGTGGGGGGGCCCAGGGCCGGCAGGGGGCCGGCGTGGGCGCTCGCAGGCACCTGGCCGAAGAGGTTGGGCATGGAGAGGGCCGAGAGGCCGGGCTGGGGTCTGTGCGGGCTGCAGAAGCCGGAGGCCGGCAGCAGGACGCCGGGCGCAAACGTGGGCCCCAGCGCAGGGGCCGCCCCAAAGGGCCGGGCCGGCGTGGACAGCAGAGGCACCGTCGGCAGGAAGGGGTTGAGGCCCGGCTGCGGGAAGAGGCTGGGGGTGCCTGCGGGGGGGAAGCTGAGCTGCGGGGTGAAGGGCGAGGCCGCACGGGGGGCCGTCGGGCCTGGGGGGAGGCCGCTGCCCGGCCAGGCTGTGCTCAGAGGGTCCAGGAGGGCCAGCAGGCCATCGGGCCCTGAGCTTGGTGCCCCGGGGGCCAGGCTGAGTGGACGCAGCAGTTCTGGGGGACCCGAGGGGGCTGCCGTGGGGAGGCCCCCCGGGAAGGGCCTTTCCCGCTCCACAGAGTCAGCAAGGGCGGGGCCCACCGCCTGGAGCTTGGTGGGGCGGGCAGCGGCAGGAGGCGGGGGCACAATGCCCAGCTCAGGGGTCTTCCTGCCCTGGGGCCGGGGAATGGTGATGCTTCCTGGGGTGGGTGGGAGCACCTCCTCCTTGTCACCGGGGCCCGCAGTGCCGTCCAGGTTCTGCGGCCGGCAGGGCAGAGCCCGAGAGCCCCCGAGCAGGGTCGAGGGGTTCCCGGGGGAGGCGGCGGGGGGCTTGCTGGGGATGGCCATGTCGTCCTGGCCCAGGTTCCAGAGGCTGTTGTAGGGGTGGGCAAGCTTCAGGGCTGCAGGAAGCCCTCGGCTCCTCTCGCTCCTGCCCAGCTCCAGGCGCTGTTGGAGAGGGAAAAGGGGAGGCGGTGAGCACAGGGGGTCCCGGACCACCCTGCATAAGGGCGACCCAGCCAGCTCGGGTCTGTACACACTCCAAGCCCCTTGTCTCTGCTGCACCCCGGGGCTGCCAGAGTCCTGCCCTTACATGCTGGTGGACACCAGGATGCATCAGGATCACTGTCTGGTCAGGGCCTTGCTTGCTTGTGTACTTGTGCATGTGCGTGTGTGTGTGTGTGTGTGTGTGTGTGTGTGTGTGCGTGCGCCTCATCTAAGGTGCTCAGGGTTTGCTGGTGCCAAGTTCAGGGGCCCGTGCAGTGCCAGGGACTGAATCCCAGGGTTCCCGTATGCAAAGCCGTGCTCAGGGCCCCTAGCGAGAGCACAGGGGCTAGGATGTTTGCCTGGGGTCCATCCCCGGCCTCCCATTTCTCCCAAGACCCTCCAAAAGTGCTCCCTGAGCACAGAGCCAGGAGTCAGGCCTGAGCACCTCTGGGGGCAGCTGTGCTCAGTCCTCTGAGCTCTCCTGGCCTGGGCCTTACTTACACATGGGCACATTCAGACACCCTGAGCCCAGGCTAGCAAGACGTGGGGTGGGCTGGGCCCGGGAACCAGCTCAACTGCTTAGGAGGGACACAGAGGGCCCCTCAGCACCCCCCCCCCGCCCCCATCAATCTGGCCTCAGCAGCAGGAACCCTGCCGAGACCACGCCTCTGGCCCTGCATGTGCACAGGGAGCCCGTGACCCAGGGCCAACAGCCAGCAGCCCGCTGGGGCCCGGAGATGGGTGCAAGGGGCAGAAGGTTCCCATGGAAGGTCTCAGACGAGTAACCCAGGGCCCAGCAAGCTGAGTCCAAACTAAGGACAGCTGGAGAAGCAGCTCTGCAGTGCCAGCCTGGAGCCCCAGCCCCTCCGTCAGGGGCCAGAGCCAGCAGTGGGGGCCACGTCCCCACAGGCTTGTGGACACCGGACAATCCCCAAGAACTCTCCATTTCTCCTTCCGCCTCTCCAGCTGTTGGCTGTTGCATGGGGGAGGGGGCCCTGCTCCTCCCCTGCCCCCCTGCACCCGCCCACCTGCCCCGTCCCGACCCCTCCCTACCTGGTAGTTGAAGGTTCCCGGCGGCTCCCTCAGCTCTTTGGGGGTCCGAAGATCCTCCAAGCTCTTGGCCTGGCTCAACGGCTGCAGTGGGACCTCCACACCCAGGCCACTGAAAACGTCTTCCAGGAGGTCGATGCTGGCTGCCCGGTCAGGGGGCACTGGGCCCCCAGGCTCCCGCGCCCGCTGCTCAGGGCTCTCGGCCTCCCCTTCGGCGCTGTCTGATTCCTTGAGGGTCCGGTAGGGCTGTGGCCTGGGTGGGGAGCATGGGGGGAGGGCAGACAAAACAGGCAGGGCTGTGCCACCCAGAGTGGGAGGAGCAAGTAACCCTCACCCCACGAGCTTGGGGTTCCCCAGAGGTACCCCCAGGACTGACTCCCGGGCTTCAGGTCTGAGCCTGAATGTGGGCTCTATTCCCCACTGGTGGCCTCGGGCTCAGCTGCTTGGGTGCACACATGCCCTGGGGTCCCCTGAGCTCCTCCCACCCCACCCCAACCCCCTCGAGCGGCCCCCTGAGTGGTTCGGCCCAGATACAGGGAGTGGCTGAGCAGTAAGACTCACCCCCTCCCCCACAGCCCACCCGCGGGCAGCTGTGGGGCTCTGGGGGTACTGAGCTGGGGAAACTCCACCCAGGGACCCTAAGATTCCCGGGGGGGGGGGGGTCTGCTGGGCCTCTGCTGGGGTTGACGCTGGTTCTAGCTCTGCCTGTGCCACCTCTGACAGTGGGGCCCTGGGGCAGGTCCCCCACCCCCGGGAGGCCCTCACCCCCTCACCCCCTAAGGTCCCTGCCTGGCGAAAGGTGGAATGACATTGAGTAGGCAGAGAGCCTGGTGCAGAAAACCGGGGCCAGGCCCAGGTGGGGACCTGGTGGCACCCCTTCTGCGTTCCCATCTCGCCCGTGAGGGGACTGAGTATGGAGACCTGAGTACGGAGAGGGCTCCCCTTCAGCGCTGTCTGATCCTGGAGGGTCCCTCCCCAACCCTCCGCGAACCAGGAGGCTGCAGGGGGCCTGGGGTCTGGTGGGGCGAGGGTGCCACCTGCTGGTTCTGAGCAGGTCCTACAGGGAGCCGGGCTAGCAGCGGCCACTAGAGGCACACTCGGGTCTCTGAGGCCAGCCCTGAAGCTGGACGGGTCTCCAAGGCCAGGCCACTGTAGGCGGAGAGGCCAGGTGGTCTCTCCTACAACTTCAGGGAGCACCCAGAGCCAGGCAGGCAGGCAGGAGTCTGGCCACAGGACAGGGATGAAGGACGTGGGGCAGATTTCCGGGGACACCCACAGCCCTCAGTTGCCCCAATCGGGCGCCCTTGTCCACTCTGCTCGTAGCAGAGATGCTGATGGGCTCGGAGGGAAACACGGGGGTGGGCAGCAGTCACCTCGTAAGCCAATGGTTCTAACATCATTTTTTACTTCTTTTTTCGGTCACGCCCGGCGATGCTCAGGGGTTACTCCTATCTCTGCACTCAGGAATTACTCCTGGCAGTGCTCAGGGGACCATATGGGATGCTGGGATTTGAACCCAGGTCAGCCACGTGCAAGGCAAATGCCCTACTCGCTGTGCTATAGCTCCAGCCCCACTAGCATCATTTTAATTTTATTTTTAACATTTAAAAAGCTTTTTTTTTTTTGAGTCCTACCCAGTGGGGGATGCTCAGGGGTTCCTCCTGGCTCTGTGCTCAGGAATTACTCCTGGCAGTGCTCGAGGGAGCAGATGTGGTACTGGGGATTGAATCTGGGTCGGCTGCATGCAAGGGAAACATCCTATTCACTGCACTCTCTCTCTGATCCTACCTCCCAATCCCCGCCCGCCCCCAAACACGTAAAGTGAGTCGCTGGATGGAGAGGTGCAAACCTCCTACCCCACAGGCTCGAGGCGGGAGGCAGAGCTGGCTGGTTTCTTAGGGCACAGAAGGCCTAGCCCTGGGGACTGCCACAGGAGAATGGGGCCAGGGAGCCACGAGGGGGGAGGTGGGGACAAGGCAGGGGCAGAGTCATAGGACAGCAGCAGAGCCAGGTTTGATCCCTGGTACCCCATAGAGTCCCCCGAGCCTACCAGGAATGCAGAGCCCAGACTAAACTCTGAGCACTGCCAGATATGGCCCCAAAGTAAAAAATAAAGGAGGGGAGGGAGTGAACCCCTCTTCTGTAAACTGGCTTTATTTACTTTTTGCTTTTTGGATCACACCCCGGCGATGCATAGGGGTTACTCCTGGCTCTGACTCAGGAATTACTCCTGGCGGTCCTCGGGGACCATATGGGATGCTGGGAATCAAACCCAGGTTGGCCATGTGCAAGGCACACGCCCCTACCTGCTGTACTATCGCTCCAGCTCCCGTAAACTGGCTTTAACAGTTCACCCAAGGGCCTGTGGTGGAGTGCAAAGGCAGCGGCTACTCTCAAAAAGTCCCCGCTTGAGAACCTTCTAGAACCGGGGGCTGGAGGAATAGCACAGCGGGTAGGGCTTTTGCCTTGCATGTGGCTGACCCGGGTTCGATTCCCAGCATCCCATATGGTCCCCTGAGCACCGCCAGGAGTAATTCCTGAGAGCAGAGCCAGGAGTAACCTGTGTGCATTGCCAGGCGTGACTCCCTCCCCCCCAAAAATAACCTTCTAGAAACTACTTAACAGTGCTGCCTTAGCCCCAGCATTGACATACCAGCGGTGGCAAGATCTGGCAACGAAGGAGACTCCCAGGAAGGCAATTTGGGGGCACAGTAACAAGCAGGGGTTTTTCTTTTGAATTGTGATGCGAGAGGGGGCAGTAGCTGAGCTGGGCTTGGAGCCCGTCAGGATGCTCAGCCCCTGACCAATCAAGTCAGCTTTTCCTCCTGCCTTTTTTTTTTTTTTTTGACTGGAGCGATAGCACAGCGGGTAGGGCGTTTGCCTTGCACATGGCCGACCTAGGTTCGATTCCTTCATCCCTTTTGGCGAGCCCGGCAAGCTACCGAGAGTATCCCGCCTGCACGGCAGAGCCTGGCAAGCTCCCCGTGGCGTATTTGATGCCAAAAACAGTAACAAGTCTCACAATGGAGACGTTACTGGTGCCTGCTTGAGCAAATCGATGAACAATGGGACGACAGTGCTACAGTACTACAGTGCTTATTATTATTACTTTTTGTGACGTCAGAATCAAGCCTAGGACCCCACTCCGGTGAGGCAGATAAACGCTCTACCACTGAGCTACATGCTCCTCTCCCCTCCCCCTTCCAGCCGTTGGACCCTCCAGCTCCCTGGATGCCAAGCCACGCTGAGACGGGGTGGGTTCGTAACAGTCCTGTGCACCCCACCCCAGCCTACCCCGTAGGCACCCAACTCCGGGGTGCAGCCCCCACGTGTGCACGAGGATGGGGGCACGGGGCGGGATGAAAGACCCCTGCAAGGAGGCACTGGGATAGAGGCAGCTCTTGACACCCCTCCACCCGCCCCGCCCCCCCGGGCCTGCATCCTCCCCCCACCCTCTGCCGCAGGACCCAGAGAAGCGTCACCAAGCAGAGAAGGGCTAGAAGGAAGGAGAGACCATTCAAAGGGAGCGGAGAAGAAAAAGCTTTCGGCGAAGCCAGAGCTGGGGCCCTCTTCCCGCGGGCGCTCGTCCTCCGAGGAGTCTTCGGAGAGGAAGACGGCATAGTGGCCGGAGGGCTTGGCCAGGCTGGGCCGGGGAGACAGAGAGGAGAGGAGAGTCAGCAGGTGCCCTCGGAACTCAGGGGGAAGGCGGGCAGCCAGGAGTGGGGGTGCCCTGCAGAGAGAAGCCCCCTCCACCCCTCCCCAGCCCAGCAGGCAGACCAGAAATGGTGGGTCCCGTCACCCCAGAGCCAGTTGCCTCCCCCACCTGCACACACTTTGATCCTGGACACGGCCCTGGATCCCGTGGGGAGGACGGGCCGGTCTGCACTCAGCGAAGGGATGCCAGCCCGGTGTCCAGCCCCGGGGCTCGGGGAAGCAGACAGGGCACACCGACTGGACATCAACATGCGAGTGCAAAGAAAAGTCTAGCAAAGCAGGTGCCCTTGGCCTGAAAGAGGGAGGGAGAGAGAGGGAGAGAGAAAGAGAGGGAGAGGGAGAGAGCTGTGGGGGGAGAGAGAAAGATAGAGAGAGAGAGAGAACTGCGAGGGCTGGGGGGAGAGAGAGGGAGGAGAGAGAGAGCCGCGGGCGAGGAGAGAAATAGAGTGAGAGAAAGAGAAAGCTGCTGGAGAGAGAGCTAGTTGGGGGGGAGGAGAGAGAGAGCTGCAGAGGTGGGGGACAGAGGCAGGCCTGCCCCCGGCTTCTGGTCCGCCTCTGTGCCTTTTTCTGCGTCTTCCTTACTTTCTCCTCAATGTCTAATCCGGGAACTGGGGACAGTGGCAGGGTGGGGGAAGCCTGCGCAGAAAGGGCCGGGGGGGGGGGGGCCAGCTGGCAGGGAGGACCCCGGCTCTTCATCTGTAATGTGGGGTTAAATATTCCTCATTATAAAAAAATGCATCTCCCGTGCCCGCCACCGGAAAGTGCCCCTCTGCGTGTGCACACGTGTGTGCACGCACACACGCAGGCACGTTCGCATACACACGCACACACGTATACACACGCGCACAAATGCACACACGCGCACATATGCACACACATGCAAGTATACACACATGCAAGTATACACAAGCACACGCATGTACACACACACACACACACACACACACACTCTTCTCTCTCACACACAGCCCAGAGGGACGTCTGTGATTCATGTACTTGTGAGGCCCAAAGCCAGTGTGTCCACACCTGCCCCAGGCCCTGCCCTGGCCAGGGGATCTGCCCTGGGGATCCCGGGACGGAAGGAGACTGAGTGGGCGCTGCTCGCGAGGGCTGCCTTGTGTCACCTCCCTGCTCTCCTGGAACTCGGCATTTCACAGCCTCTTCCCACCCGGGACCCCCTTCCCACCTTGCTCCTCCCTACAGCCCCCGCCCCCCCCCCCCCCACCGGCCACCGTGGGTGCTGTCAGCCAGCCCCAGTCTCACGCCTATATATTTTCACCCATATCCGGGAATATCCAGCTGAGAAACGCTGCTTGCGGTGACACGACTCAGTTTCGTTTTATTTTGGGAAAACCAGGCGTCCTGGCTAGGGGCACAAGAGCCGCTGCTGTGGGAGGCGGGTGAGAGGCGGGCTCCGGTGTCCCCCCAGCACTGGGACGGTAACCTGCTTTCCGGCAGAGCGGGAGAGGAGGCCCTGGGGGGCTGGGCCCAGCTCTGCCCGCTGCTGTCCAAGGGCTCTGCCCACTGGCACGGCCTCCCCCAGTGATTTATAAAACACCAGATAAAGCAGCATTCGGAGAGGCCCCAGGCGCTTCTGGACCCCACCCTGTGCCCCCCACCCCATCCCCGCACCCTCACTGCAGGCGACAGCAGGGAGCAGAGAGGGGAACTGGGCATCCCCGGCCCGGCTCCTGGGCGTCTCATGCTGGACCCAAGGGTTTGGGGGGGAGGCATGTGACTGACAGAACCTTTCTGACCGAGGTACACCGGCCACCCCGGGGGCACATCCCAGGGCCTGGAAGGGGGACCCACAACCCCGCACAGGGCAACTAGCATCCTGTCTGGCGCTCACGTGGTGCCTTTGCCCCCATCCCCCATGATGCTGGGTGCATGGGAGGAAGCCCAGGGCGTGGCGGGAGCACTCAGGAATGGGGACCCCCCACTCCACCACCCTGCTTTGCAGGGAGCTGAGGCCCAGCCCCGCCTCCTGAGCCGGAGCAGGACAGGGGAGTGCCCAGCGGGGGACGGGCTCTCCCACGTCCAGAGGCTGCAGTTCCCCAGTTCCCGCAGTTCCCCAGTTCCCGTCACCTCCCTATGCTGGTGTGACTGTGGGGTGGGGGTGGGGGTGTCTCATCTGGCTCTGGCAGGAAACCCAGACGCTTCCCAGCGCTCAATCTGCACGTGGAGAATGTCGGGACACATATGTGAGACATTTGCCACAAGTGTTTTTCTGAAAGTGCTTTTTTGGGGGGAGGGCATGTGGTCCAGGCTTTGGGTCGCACGGCCCTCCCGATGGCACTTCCATGGCCACGTGCTTTCCGCACGATCCCCGGGGATACCACGGCAGACCCCAATGCATGAAGGGGAGGGAAAAAAAAGCTGAGGTTCAGAGAGGGACAGCCACTCGCCCTGTGTCACACAGCAGCCGGAGGCAGGGCTGGGGACTGGGTGGGGTGGGGGGCACTGGCTGAGCCCCCGTGCTGATCCCGTGGCGGCCAGAGGCAGGTGGTGAGAAGCAGGGGGAGGTTTCAAAAGGCACCGACTTAAATCCGATTGCTCGCCTCGCCCAGGAAGCAGACAGTTGTTTGTCAGGGATGAAGGACGTGCTGTCACAAACGTCCAGGCTTAAATTTTTTATTAGCTTCAGGCGGAATCGGAAGGCAGGGGTGAGGGGAGGGGGGGCAGGCGCCACTTCCCCTCATTAACCCAATTCAGTGAGTCCTCTGAGGCCTGCCACTGTGCCCGCCCGGCGTCACTACCCCCGCCGAGCCCGTTCAACGAAGGCAGGTCGTGGGGCGTGCGGCCACCCCTGGGCCCGTCCATCGTCAGTCCTTCGGCAGGCCTCCCAGCCCCTGCCCGCCGAGCTCTGCGCAGACGGCTTCCAGAATCGCTGTCGCACGTTGGGCTCGGCGTGGCACTGGCGTCGCGTGTTCCGTGACGGGGTGACAGGCGCGGCCGTCCCTCTGAGAATACCGTGTCACAGACACGGGCCCTGCGCGGCGCCTCTCGGCCGTGCCGGGATCACACCGGCTTCGTGTTTTAATGAGGAAGATCTGCATTTCCAGAGGTTCTTTTTTTTTCTCTCTCTTTCTTTCTTTTCCTTCTCTCTCCACCCCCCTCCCCTCATGTGTCACATCGCGTGGACAAATCAGCGGCACGTCACGCCGGCCCCCAATGAAATGCTGACAAATGTAGATATTTCAAATTTAATTGACGTTTAAAACGTCCTGGAGATGAAGAAGGCGGGGGTGTGTGTGTGGGAGCTGCCGAGCACCCGGCGCGAGGTAAGGAGGGGGCCGGGCTGGGTGCTACAGGGCCGCTTCTCCCCGGGTGCTGAAGATCTCGACGGTGTTGGAGTCCCGGCCGCCTTCCTGTGGGGCCGGTTGCAGGCGTGGCCAGGGCTTCTCTGCCCCGCAGAAGCCCCTTCGTCCCCCAGAACTCCTTAGCATCTCTCTCAGACCCCGCCTTTGATACAGAGACCCTGGAGGTGGGCACTCGTCAGGGACTTAGGCCAGCGCCAGGCTCAGCAACGACGTTCTAGTGCTCAACCCAGTGCTGGGTTCGCTTGGCCGCCATGGGGTCTGGGCTTGTCCCAGCAGCTGAGGACGAACCAGGTGCCGTGGGCCTTGGAGCCCTGCCCAGGCGAAGCGGCTCCAAGTCATGGAGACCCGCGGTGACCTGCAGGTTCCCTGGGGCCTCCCGGCCCCTGCCTGTCACCAGGATGCCCGCGTGCTCTTGGTCACGTGCACGGACCGGAGCCAGGGAGGTGGCTCAGCAGGACAGTGCGTGTGTACACATGCGCGCGCACGCACACACTCACTCACTCTACGGCACGTCACAGGGCTTGCATGGGGGTGTGGTGGGGAAGCCCACAGCACCCACAGAAGGAATGGCAGACAGAGCTCTATTGAGTGGCTGGGGGCGGGGGAGGGCCCGGACCACCCCCAGAGGAGTTGAGGCAAAGGAGGGGCCGTGACACTGGCTCTCTGGGCTCTGCTATAGGTGAACGTGTGTGTATGTGTGTATGTGTGCACAGGCATGTGTGTGCTCGCAAGCTTGTGTGTGCACGCAGGTTCATGTATGTGCACATACGTATATGGATGCATGTGCATGTAAGCACACATGTGCAGGCATGTGTCCCTGTGTATACGTGTGTGCACACAAATGTATGTGTGTGCACACTCAGCTGTGCGTGTATGTGCTTGCACGCACATGTGTGCATGTCCGTGTGCACATGTGTGCATGTCCACGTGCACACGTGTGCGGGCGTGCGTGTCCGTGAATGTATGGTTGTGTGTGTGACTATACGTGTGTGCGCTTCCTGCCAGACTCTGACCAGCTGGGAACAGGGCAGGGGGAGACGAGCTCCTGCCCACTGCAGGACAGCGGGCCTGTGTGCGTCCTGGCCAAGGCTCACGGGTGGTGGCAGGGCACTGCACTGGCAGACATTTCCCTGACCCTGGAGGGCAGCGAGGTCAGGGCGGCGTGAGGACGGCAGGCTCGAGGGCTGCCGTCGAGTGTCCACAGGCCCGTTGCAGCCGGCGGGGCTCCCTCTGAGCAGAAGGCGTGCTTGGCAGTTCCTGCTTTCCCAGCCTGGTGTTGTCCCCAAGGTGGGTGTGCGGGGGGCAAGGCCACTTCGGGGGCGCCAGGAGTGGGCCCTGAGTCCGGCGGGGGAGGCTGGTGACCTGCACTGGGCGGGGGTTGAGGGGGCTGAGTCTGGAGGGCCACGTCTGAATCGGCTCCCGTGGCGGTGGGGCGAGTGCTTCCTAGTCACCCCCTCTTCAGGGCAGTGGGTGGCCGTGGGGGGCAGCCACGTCCCTCCGCCATCTCTTCCTGCCTCCCAGTCCTTCCTCGAACTGGTCACTTGGGGGGACTCCAGGAGCCCAGCTCTGGTTTGGGGGACCAACAGTCCATGCTGAAGATACACAG